TACTACTACTACTACTACTTGGGATTTAAGGTTTAGGGTTGAAGGTTAAGGGTTTAGGGTTAAGGCTTAGGGGCTTATAAGCCAGGGCTCGACTTTGGCGTGGCTTGCTTCGGGGAGCTTTGGGAAGATAGATCACTCTTGCAAGTCAGCCTGTGTGTGACAGCTGGGGTCTTAGCAACAGCAACGGCTTGCTTCGGTGCAAGTGTAGGCTGGTTAACCTTACCTGGGGCAGGGGGTGCAGGACTGTTGGCAGGCGCCTTCTTAGGGGGTGCAGGGTTGTTCGCAGTAGCTGCTTTGGCTGGGGGACTGACACCATTTGCATCCACCTTGGCGGGAGCCAAGACTGGGGGCTGGCCAACCTTGGGGGGTGCAGGGTTGTTCGCAGCAGGTGCTTTGGCTGGCGGATTCGGGGTTTTGGCAGCAGCTGCTTTGCCTGCAGGGGGAGTGACACCTCCTGCGTGCGCCTTAGCACGAGCCAACACTGCAAGCACTGCTGGAGACATACCTCCAGCTTTCACACAGCCTGAACCATTGCCACTGTTGGGACGTGCTTTCGGAGTGGCTTTGGCTTTGGCTTTGGCTGGCTCGGCAGGCTCATCCTGCTTTTTTCGCTGCTTTACCCATGGCTGCCAGAGAAACGACCCTGCAAACACGAGGGACCCAGAAAATGGGAGGTTTCGGGAGGCCTTTTTGGGGTGTAACGGTTCCAAGCCTTTTGTAACGGTTCCAGGGCCTTTTGTAACGGTTCCAAGGCCTTTTGTAACGGTTCCAAAGGGGGTCTTTTTCGAGAAGTTCTCCCTTTTTCGGATTCTCGCGCTGCCCCTAACCGCTCCTCGCTGGCTGCACAAAACCTGGAGCCAACACCCGGAAAACGGTAATACCCTATCTTAGATAATGCGTGGGTGCACTGCAGCACTGCAGCATGTCTCCAAAAGTATTGCTGCTGCAGCTTTTCGTTCTGCCCAGCTCTAGGCTCGTTGTTCATGCCCAGATCCTGCTAGAAACAGAAAACCGCTGTCTGCTACCACACATTTCTATGTGGCCCGAGACTCTCTTAGAATTAGGGTCCGAAGGCCCCCAGCAAAAGTTACGTATTGTAGGTTGTGTGCACATAGATATGCTGATCATGAGTGTCCAAGCGCTGGGGGTCCTCAGGGCTGCAGAAACCTATTTGCCTACGAATTCTCTCGAAAGAATCAGACGTAGCATTGTCTTACCACACAGCTCAGCGTGCAGCCAACGACTCTTTCGGAAGTAGCATCCCAAAATACCCCAATCATGGTTTATGGAGGATATTTGGATCTAGAGGTAGAACACAACAGGGGTCAATGGTTTGCAGCAAGATTGCAAGCGCAGCATCCACAAAGGTAATGGTCAGGAAATCTAGATATAACATATTACTTACCCTAGAAGCCCAGTTACCTGTATATTGGGTTCCTGTCTTTGGGTCCCTATATAAACTGATACTATCTATAACCTAAGAGACTACTATATGGGTACCTGGGCTTCCAGGGTTATATATTTATAATATGTATAATCGTGGGATCTACATTTCCAGAAGTCATCCGAACAATTCTACCCGAACCCTTATGGCTGCTCCAGCAACTCCCTAATGAAACGGAAGTTGATCTCAGGGGCACCCTCCCTTATGAAGGGTTCCTTGACAAGAGGGATATTCTCCCGAGGCTTGAAGAAGCCGTGGATGGTGCTGTCAATGAGCATTGCAACCACCGGCTCCTGATATGGGAGTTTTCGGGCTGAGGGATTAGAATGTTGCTGAAAAGGGCTTAAGCTATAGGTTTCTAACGGGTAGTCTTAGTATTTTTGCGTTGGGGCTTTTGGGTTCAGGGGGTCCGGGTTCAAGTGTAGGGCTTCAAGTGAAGCACCTCTAGTGGGCCTATATTTAGAGTGACTCAGGGGTTGCATTGAAGCCTTCTCTGCCAACTCATTATTCTTATAATATTATTCTTATTATTATAATTTATTATAGTCAATACTATATATATATTCTATAATTATAAGCATTTAGCTTCAACCTTCTACCCCGCATGGCCCCAAATCTCATCTACACCTGCCCACTATAAGAGCTAAGGGTTTAGGAGTTATCTTGATGCTAGACAAGGCCACAAAGTCAAAGGTTTTTCCCTCGATTACCGCGTGGCTTCAAGGTTTCGGGTATAAGGCCTGGGGAAAATAGTGAGTAAATTCAAGACTCGGGCTGGCGTTCAAGGATTATGCACTAGAGGCATACATTTCCACAAGTCTTAGGAGCTGGGTTCCTTTAAATCAATTGCTTGCAAGCATCAAGTCGGGCATCAGCCCAGAAATCCCGTTGTGCAACCTGGGCAGTAGGTTGTATATAGGGTTCAGAATATCGGGCTTAGGGTTTGGGGGAATAAATTTGTTTTACGTGCTTGGGGGTGCCCTACAGGAATGCAAATTTAAAGAAAGCTTGCTGAGGGCCCCGGGGTATCATGTAGATGATCATGATGAGGAAGGACTGGCTTCGAACAGATCAATATTCAATGAGGTAGAACTTAATCTTGTTTCCTCTTCGTAAGTTCCCTTCTTCGCCCCAAACCACAAATAAACCCTAAACCCTTACCCAAGGTTACCCAGCCCTTAAACAGCTAACACCTTAACCCACTACCCGGACCGGGGCCCAACACCCTACTTTCCCTAAGGCAAGCATGCCTGAGACCGCAATAACAAAAATCCAGTGGCTGAAGTTTACGTTGCCAGGCTCTTCAACCCAGTTACGATGAAAACCCTGCATCCAACATGCCTCCCAAATGTTCACTACCAGACCCCATCCTTCATTTCAGCTGAAGCTTACTTGCTGGCATTGGGCCAGGTGCCTAATTTTCGATTGAAGACTGTAGCCCTACTCCTACTTCGATTCCCAATAACACTAAAATTATCAGGATTGTACGCATGCACGCCAGTCAAGCATCCAGCAAGAGTCAACGGGGATTGCTGCCGGCTAGGCTGCGAACATGCTTCTATAGTAGTAGTTGTAGTAGTGCTAATAATTATAGTATTAATACTAGTAGTAATACTAACTATAATAATAGTAGTAATAATAATATATAGTAATTGTAGCAGTAGCAGTAGTAGTAGTAGTAGTAGTAGGAGTAGTAGTAGTAGTAGTAGTAGTGGTATCGTGATGGTCGTGGTGGTCGTGGTGGTGGTGGTGGTGGTGGTGGCGGCAGCGGTGGTGGTGGTGTTCACGCAGGGATTCATGAATGTCCGTCCCTCGAGTCTCCGGCACTTGGCCATGTAGTTGGGCCATGCCTTGGGGCCCATATATTTGAAAAACCCTGCCCTAGTGTTGCGCCGGGACAGAGCTGTTCAAATTAGGGCTTTTTTGAGGGACGGCCAGTTGGTT